GTCTGATTTTATGCGGTTTTATTTTCACTCACTGATTGGGGAAAACCCGTGTGATACCTCCATCTGTAGATGCAAACACAGCCAGGAAGCCGTACCTGTAAGAATTGGCCTCAAATAAACATTTTCTTGTTCCGATGATGAACGTCTGTGAGATAATGACACGCGATGCCAATCGTCAACAAGTTCACTTACGAATTCAAGTCCTTGTTGTTCCACACACGGGACGCCAACTGCCCGATAATCCTTGAATCCAGAATCAGGTTGTGAATGAGGCCTTGGTCGCCTGAGACACATTTAAAAAAAAACGTTTTAAAAAAGTATTATTTATGTAGTGATAGTAAAGTGATTAATAAAAGAAAGAAAATAAAGCTGATAACAATAACAACTGACACTCATCAGATTCTGGAGAAATTTCCAACATGAGTGAAAGGAAGTTCTGCAGAAACTGGGTGTTGTTGTCAGACAAGTGTAGACGCTTGCAGTATTCCCTGCAAAGTGAAAAAAAATCACTTTCACTAACAGCCAGAGATAAGTACAAAAAGGCAAAAAAAGAGAAGTGAAATAAAAGCACAGTCACCTTGGAGCCAGAAAAACGTGTCCTAAGGATTCAAATGAACTGGGCAGCAGCGACTGCATATCTACAGCACAAAAACCATTGTTGGTGAAAACAAATATCTGTCAAAATATATGTCTAAAATAAATTTAAATTATTCACATTGTTAGCACAGTAAAATCTAGTAAAACAGCCAGGGATGATGTAGATAAACATCCTGGTGTTTTTGTGCTAAACATAAATACAAGTAAAAAAAAGTAGAGTAGAATAAATGAGTACATTCTCAGTACTGTTACGTCATAGTAAATAAAAATGCTACTCACACTGAAGCTGCAGCATCACATCACTCAGGTCTGCCTGAATGTAGAACTCATTATACGGGGGCAGTACCAAACCCAGACTGAAGATGGCAGCATTTCATCAGGAAAACGCATGATAAGAAAATGATTTAGAATGTCACCTGTCTTCAACTATTTTTTATTTAAAAATTAATTCGGTTGGTGACGTCACTCACCTGTAGTCCGTGCCGTTGATGGGGGTCCAGGTGTAACCCCTGAACACCTCATCGATGTATTGCTGCAATAAAGGATTTTATTTATTTATTTTTAACACTTATATACCTTCACGTCACCTGTTGTGTACTAAACAAACCAAACAGAGTAATCGAAGTAACGTCACTTGCCTCGTCAACAGACTTGATCAGAGTTTTGATTTGCATTTCACCGGGTCTCCCATCGATCATTTGTCGCCGAATCTACAGCATCGGGAAAAAAATTAATTTTAAAATTTTAAATTATTAATGGAACGTGAAGTACCTCACAGAACGGTGTGTTCGAGTGCCACTCACCTCTTCTTTATTAGCGTCCTCCACCTCGGCATCCAGGAAGTCCAGCGTCACGGGTTCAGGAAGATTCACGAGCTGAAGACACGAGAGTTGATATAAAAACGACATACGTGAGCGTGAAAAATGTCTGACGACGTAATCTTCTGATTTTAGCCTGACGTTATTGATCACCTTTGGCTGGAGGTTAGGATGTAGGAGCAGGTACCCGTTTGGATCAATGGCAAAAATGTATCCGTTGGATCCAAGCTGTTAAAACAGTAAACAAAGGAATGACAACGAGAATTGTTCTGAATTAATGTTAATTATTTTGTGTAATGAAATGTATGTTTGTGTGGTGAACGTACGTTGTACCGCGGAGTCAGTCTCTTAATTTCATCAAGATGGACATCGACTCCCATGACGCCCAAAATCAACTGATTCTGCTAAAAAAAAA